GAATTCACTAGTGAAGCCATCTGGTCCTGGACTTTATTGTGGCGTTTTTTATTACTGATTCAGTCTCCTGACTAGTAATTGGTCTGTTCACTTTATCTATTTGTTCATAATTCAGTCTTGGCAGGTTGTATGTGTCTAGGAATTTATCGATTTCTTGTAGGTTGTCCAATACATTGGCATAAATTGTTCATTGTAGTTTCTTGTGATCCTTTGTATGTTGGTGGTATCGGTTGTAATGTCTCCTCATTTACTTATAATTTTATTTACTTGAGTCTTCTCTCTTTTTTTCTTGGTAAGTCTAGCTAAAGGCTTATCTATCTTGTTTACCTTTTCAAAGAACCAGCTCTTAGTTTCACTGTCCTTTTCTATTGTTTTGTTGGTCTCTATTTCATTTATTTATTTTCTGATCTTTGTAGTTTTTCATTCTTCTACTAATATTGGGCTTCATTTGTTTTTCTTTTTCTATTTCTTTGATGTGTAAAGTCGTCCATTTGTGATTTCTCTTTTTTCTTACTATAGACATTTATCATTGTAAACTTCCCTCTTACAACCACTTTAGCTGAATCTTATGTTTTGATGTATTGTGTTTCAATTTTCATTTTTCTCAAGATATTTTTTTTAATTTTTATTTTTATCTTTGACCCATTGGTTATTCAGGAGCATGATGTTTAATTTCCACATACTTGTGAATTTGCTAGTTTTTTCCTTTTAACTGATTTCCAGTTTCATACCAATGTGGTCAGAAAAGATAATTGATAAGATTTCAATGCTCTTAAATTTATTAAGACTTGGTTTGTAGCTTAACATATGGAGAACGTTCCATGTGGGCTTGAGAAGAATGTGTATTTTGCTGCTATTAGATGGAATGTTCTATAAATGCCTATTAGGTCCATGTAATCTAATGTGTAGTTTAGTTCCAACCTTTCTTTATTGATTTTCCATCTGGATAATCGATCCAATGTTGAAAGTGCGTTATTTTTTTTTATTATTAATTTATTTATTTTGAGAGAGAGAGAGAGAGAGTGAGAGCTAGAGCAGGGGAGGGACAGAGAAAAAGGGACAGGGAGAGATTCCTGAGCAGGCTCCGCACTGTCAGCACAGAGCTCACTGAGGTGTTCGAACCCACGAACTGTGAGATTATGACCTGAGCCGAAACCAAGAGTCAGACGCTGAACCAACTCTGAGCCACCTTGGTGCCCTTAAAGTGGATTATTCAAGTCCTCTAGTATTATTGCATTTCTGTCTATTTAAGGGCAGTCTTAAATGCCTGTTTTTGCATAGTAGTTAAAAAAAATTTGAAGTTTGTGACACAGGTGAATCTGTTCTTGTCCATTGCTCAACCAAACAAAAGTGCTATCAGGTGAAAACAGAGAGCTGTTGAAATCCAGTGTTCATGCATTTCCCAGCTGAGAATATTAAAAACCAGGTTGTGGAAGCCTGGGTGGCTTGATGGGATGGCGTCCGACTTCAGCCAGATCCGCAGTCCTTGATCCGTGAGTTCGGGCCCAGCGATGTTTCTCTGGGCTGATGGCTCAGAGCCTGGAGCCTCTTCCCGGTCCTGTGTCTCTCCCTCTCTCTCTCTATGCCCCTCCCCAGATTCATGCTCATCTCTCCTCTCTGTCCCAAAAAATAAATAAGCGTTGAAAAAAAAAATTTAAAAAATAAATAAATAAATAATAAAAACAGGTTGTAAAAGATCCCGGTCAAGGGAAAAGTTTGAATCACCTGTTCCAGGGGAGTCCTTGTGATAGCCATGACTGTTCATTCCAAACATGTTTGCCTATCATTGCTTATAGATGCAACACTATTCATGAAATAATTGGACACTCGGTAGTGAATGTATATACAAGTATATAATATATTGTTATAACTGAGAATTTTTCTACTCTTTTTGTCTTTTTCATAGAGTCAGTATATATATATATATATATATATATATATATATATGACTGTTGAGCTTTAACTTTCATATGTTTAGTATCAACTTTAACGATTTCAATTCCCTTTATTTTGTGAGTTAAGAGAATGGAAAAAAAATTATAAGTCTGGCAGTGGTTTCTCTATTTTTTTCCGCTTCTAGATGATAAGTAGGGATAAAACACTAGAATCTGCTTATGAAATGCTGTTATTACATAAATCTACATGGTTTAGTGCAAAGAATCCCAACTGAGAGCCTGTAGGCCTGTGTTCTAGTATCAGGTCATATGTATTTAGCTTTTCCATACTTCATTTTGCTCATGTGTAAAATAAGGAATTTAGATAGATAATTTTTTACTTAACCTAATTCCCCTCTAATATCCTAGGTTTCTGTGGCACCTAGGTATAATTGCAGGATTTTAGTTTAGAAGGAAAGGCACTGGAACCCAAAATCTGGGGTCTAGATCTGACATTGTACACTCTGTAGTTTTATTTCTTCATCTCTAAAAATAAAGAATAATAGCCATCAGTTGATCCCAGGTGTGACGCCTGATTAGATATTATCTTGCCTAAGAAATTTGCAGGTACAAAGGTCTGTATAAGAGGAGCTCCTCCCTAAAGGTTTAAAACATATTGAAAAGCTAGATTAAATACATGTGCCATCTTTGTAGGAAAGTGCAAGTAGATTAAAAGAATAAAATACGGAAAGAGCCGATGCATGCATTAGCAGGAGTTTAAGAGAAAATATAACCAATATATGTAGAAAAAATGCTCAATATTTCTACTAAATACAAATAAAGACAGCAATAAGATACCATTTTCCTGTCATTAAGTAAGATATTGAAATATTTTTATCAAATGTCGGTGAAAATATAGGGAAGTGGTTACCACAAAACAATGCTAGACAGAGTGTAAACCGTCATGGACGTCTTGAAAGATAAGTTGACAGTGTTATTATAATTTTAAATGTGTACGTCTTCTGATCGGTAATTACTTTTTTATATTTATTCATACGCCTAAGAATTGGTCGAATATATTTATTGCAGCAATATCTGTAAGAGCAACACATTTGAAATGACTCACCTGTAAGCCAATAGGTAAATGGTTAAGCAAATGATAACACATTCATACTGTGGAGTTCTACGTAACAGTTAAAAAGAATGAACCAGATATCTGCATACTGACATGGGACTACCTTTAATACACATTGTAGAGTAAAAGGTAGTTACAGGACAGTTTGCATTATTTACACACAAATACGCACTAATGAAACTGTGTTTCTATAAATACATTACATATTAAAGAAAAGGCAGGGAAAAGACTTAGAAAAAGATACACAATGAACTGATAATATAGTCACCTTTGAGAAGGGAAGTGGTGAGGAGAGGGATGTAAACTTTAAAAGGTTTAAATTTTTTTCAAGTAAGAATACATTCATGTATTATTTAGAAATTAAAGACAGGTTTGTTTGGGTTTTTTTCCCCTCCGACAATGAAAGAGGATAAATTAACTTAAGCATTTTCTGTTCAACTAAATCAAACCCAAGTTATTATCCTCTTGGCAATGTTTTACTTCCATGCATACCCCATTTTCTAGAATACCAACCAATTCACTGGGTCTGAATCCTTGACAAGCTCAGGATTTCATTAGCCTTATCCTTTGATTTATCCAACACTGCAGTCAACTGGCTGTAATATTCAGCTTGTAGAGTATTCAGAAATGAATATTCAGACACTTAGTTAAGGTAGTTCTGAAACTGAAATTATCATGAAATTATTGCATCTTACTGCATTTGAAAGCATAAGAGCACAGAAGGTGGTGGCATTTCCCCAGAGATGGATAATTATCTTAACCACTGCTCTTACTAATGTTCTATTAGTATTGCTAATTTGCCTTTGCATATGAAATGCTCCCTCAGAAAATTCCAGAAGTTAACTATGATTCTTCCACTGGATGTTTTTAAGGCTATCTGTTCCATTAGAAGTTAGTAATTTGAGAAAACTCAAATACACATTCAACAATGTTGTTACTTTTAGGAAGAGAATGAATGAAGAATCTGAAGGCTGGGGATACACAGAGACAAATTTTGCTCCCTCAGTGATCCTAGAAACTACAGAGAAGAGATATTATTATTATGCCCCATTCTGCACATTAAAAAAATAAGACTCAGAAAAGTTGAGCAATTTGCCCAAAGCAACACAGCAAGTAGTAAGTACAGTTTAGCTTTTTTTTCTTGACTCAAAGTTGAAAACTTTCCACGCCATTATCATCCCTGCCTTCTTGAAATTAGATTCTGAAATATGAAGACATCTATTCAGATTGATCTACTGGGTCAACTAATATTTCACCCAACATTTGTTGGGTGCTTGCTGTGGATCTGTTTCTGTTCCAGATTCTTCCATAATAATCACTTAAATGTTACTAGGACTCTGTGAGACACCTATTACTATCTCTGCTTTACAAATGAAGAAATGGTGGCCTAGAGATGAAACATTTGACTCTTGCCACATCACCAGGAAGTGGTAGAATAAAATTTGCAGTGCATAATTTCTGGCTCAAGAAAGTACTCTTCTCATCAACATTAGGATTTTAGTATTCCCAAGAAAGAGCTCTCATCAACAGACCACATGAACCTTGAACCAGGCTTGCCCCTAAATAGACACATGCCTTTCAGTCTAGTTAACTCCCTTTGTTGTGGGACACTTGTCAAGCAAATCAGTGTGGGGTAGAATGTTTTTATGTATGGCTTGGAACCATCTGGTGATATTAACAAAATAAGCTATTTCTAAATAATGTGTGTGAGCCAACAAGAGATCCATTCTTTCACTCCTTCTCAAGGGACCTCCCAGCCTCCTCTGTGAGAGTGAGTGTTAGGGCTCTCCTTACACTGGCCTAGAGTAATTTGTTTTAATAATGTCTGAGCTCTCTGAGGTAATGGTCTCATGATCTCAACCAGTGCTTTTAAGGAAGAAATAAATGTGAATAAATAGAACATTTCTATTTTTTTTAAGTTCAGAAATACCTAGAAAATTAACTATACCAACAATGAATTAGAATGCATGTTACCATAAACCTCAAGGAAGTGATTTGACTGAAAATATTTAATTACAGGGCGAATTTCAAAATGGCAGACATCTGGGAGAAAGTGACAGCAAGAGAACCAGAACAGATTTTCCTAGCCTGGTGATTTGTATAAATCATGACGACATTACTTATGAGTGTTTATTGCACACCAGGCACTTTGCATGTGGTAACTAATTATATCCTTATAAAAAGTCCATTGAGGTAGGTTATTAGTTCCATTTTACAGGTGAGGAAACTAAGGCTAGAAAGTGGCAAGGCTAGAATTCAAACCCAAATCTCTGAAAGTCAATGTCCCTTCTACACCAGCTCTAGGCAGAGGACAAGAGCATGGAATCACATTCTTCCAGAATGGGGTCTTCTGAGTTATCTTCATTGTTTCATATGAGATGTAAGTTCTCAGGAACTCAGTCACAGCCATGATCGAACAAAGGCAGTGTGTTCCAAAGGTGATGAGCAGGCCCTTGCTTTGCTCATTGGGAGGGGAATGTTGATCACTGAAAAAAGTATGGAATGTTTGAAAAAAACAGAAGATGTAAATAGCATAAAAGAAACATCTCAGCCATCTCCCAGCTTATGAAATGAAACCTGACAAATAAACCCACTTAAAACTTTTTACGTAACCCACCCTGATTTCATTTCCTTCCTTCCCCTTCAGAGATAACCACTGTTCTGACTTTGGGGTGCATCATTGTCATGAAATTCTCTATAGCTTTCACATATGTTTGTATCCTTCTAAAATATATGATTTACTTTTACATATTTTAAATGTTATATAAATGGACTCATATTTATGTATTCTCATGAAATTTCTGTGTTTTACTTCTCATTACATCCACAATATTCATCCATGTTAATGCGTTTAGCTCTAGTTCATTCATTTTCACTGCTAAATAGTATTCCATCTTATGAGTATATCACAATTATTTAGACATTTTATAATTGATGTATTTCCCCTCATTTTGACTGTGACAAATAATGCAGCAATTTCTTCCATGTGTCTGTCTCATTATGTATATGTGGAGAGTTCTTCTGGGGATAATCCTCAAAAGGAAATTGTTAGGCAATAGGTTTACATTATCTAATTTTAGCAAATGCAAGCAATTGTTCTAATTGGTTGTGCCCATATACACACCAATAGTTTTATTTTTCTTTTTTTTTAATGTTTATTTATTTTTGAGACAGAGAGAGACAGAGCATGAACGGGGGAGGGTCAGAGAGAGGGAGACACAGAATCTGAAACAGGCTCCAGGCTCTGAGCTGTCAGCACAGAGTCCGACGCGGGGCTCGAACTCACAGACCGCAAGATCGTGACCTGAGCTGAAGTTGGACGCTTAACCGACTGAGCCACCCAGGCGCCCCAATAGTTTTCTTTTTCTACATTATCTTTAATACTTGCAATTGTTGCCTTTCACCTTTTGCTAATCTGAATGTTTGAAGAAATACCTCATGACTTTAAAATGCATATCTTTATTAGTGAGGTTAAAAGGCTTTTTCTCTGTTCATAAGCCATTTGTTTCTCTACTTGTTCCTTTTTTTTCCTATTGATTTATAGGTGTTTTCTGTATATTATGGATGTACATTTTTTTTTGTTTGTGTATGTATTGCAAATAACTTATCTGTGATTTATCTACTTGACCTTAGCACTGGTAATACCAAGCAGACAAAAACAATCACAATTTCACACTTTTTGGTGCTACCACTTTTACTTTCCAAGGACACTCAAATGAGCTCTATTATGCAGACTACTGTGATTTTAAGCCATCAATGTTACTGGTACTTGTAGCAAAATTTTCTATAGAGATCTTGCTTTTAGACACATTTGAACGTCCATGTAATTCTCCTTTAGGACAAAATAATCTTTATGTGATTAGCTCAGAAGTTTTTGGATGTGAATCATTTTTTATAATGCTTATTTATTTATTTTGAGGGGGTGTTTTGGGGAGGGGTGGGGGGGGGGGAATCCCAAACAGTCTCCACACTGGCAATGCAGAGCCCTATGTGGGGCTCAATCTCATGAACAGTGAGATCATGACCTGAGCTGAAATCAAGAGTTAGACACTCAATTGACTGAGCCACCCAGGCGCCCCGTGAATCATTTTGATCTAACTTTATGTGGCTGGTTTGTTTTTTTTTTAATGTCCCAGGAGATGAAAAAAGTAGTGTTTCATGCAAGGCAATTAATTTTAGTACCTTTATTTTCCCCCCAGTGGACCGAGCTGAAAACTGGAAAAATACAGACTATGCTTATGGGTAAGAATTCCCCTCAAAGCAAAGATCAAGATTACAGGTGTCCTCTAACTTAGAGGGACAGCTGCTCATAGGTTGGTTCCTTGTTATCTAGTACCTACACCTACCTCTCCCATGTGGGTATCATTTCCTCCATATCAAATTGGGAGGCAGTGTGCTTAGTGGTTAAGACTTTGGGGTCAGAAAGACTTGAGCTGAGATCAGAAAGCTTCATCACTTTCTACAGTGCCTTTGTAAGTAAAATACTTAAAATGTCTGAACCCCAGTTCCTGTGTCTGAAAGTGTGACAAATGCTACTGTTGTTCTGAGCCTTCTTGGAGATTAAATGAGTTCATGTCTGTATGGTACTTGTGCTTAGTAAACATTCAATTAATGGTGGTTACTATTACATGGTCCTAATGAAACCCTCATTCCATTGAAAAAATGCTTTAAAAATGCTATAATTTCTCAAAGGAAACATACCTCTCCTCACCCCTCTTTAGAGGGCACTTTGAGGACTAAGAATCCTTCTGGAAAGGTACAATTCCTGTGAAGGGAACTGAACATTAGCTCGCCTTTCTCAGCTTCCCAAATGGAACTGTTCGTCTTATTGAACAACCCAAGAACAGAGTTTATTAGGCTGGACCTTCAAGGTCAATATAACCTGAAAATATAACCTGTTCATATTGAGATGATAGAAAGCTAACCATGTTGCCCCTGGCAGAACATTTTGTTTGGCCACAATGTTTTTCAGAGCTACAGAACACTCTAGTTGTTCTGTTGTATACAATGCACTCATTCTTTGGCTTTACCCAGCTCTATATTTAAGCTTATTTGTCTACCCCATGGATACTTGTAACACACACACACACACACACACACACACACACAATATACACACTAATGCTTAAATTGAGTGACCGTTCATAAACAGAACGCAACTTTTTGTAAAATAATTGACAGACTTGTTTAGACTTCCCTTGCCAATCTCTGCCAGAGACAGACAATTTACTTAGAATTTCAGAAGTACTTGTCTGGTTTTCCTAAGAAGGATTCAGCCTCTCTTCATGTTAGGAAGTTTCAGTCTTCTTCAAGCACCTATCTTAAAAGAACAAATAAAGCTAAAAATGTTTTGGAGAAATAGTCACCCCAAAAGGCTACAAATGGGTAAAGCTAACTGGAAATCCTAGCTTGCAGTCCTGGACTATATAATTTACTAGCTAGGGGACCTGAAATGAGTCATTTAATCCCTCTGACCCTCAGTTTACCTGATCTATAAAGTGAGGCCGCTGACAGAAATAAACTGGAGAGTAAGGGCTTGGACTGATGGTTACCCAATCAAAGTCAAAGGCAAAAAAATGTTCTCTGAAAAACATAACCTGTGATTTTCTAGAATACCTCTCTTAGTTTGTATATGAAGATCTATATCCTTTTAAACTTCTAAATTTGCCGTTCTCTCAAGAATAACAAGGGGTTTCAGGAGAACTGCTCCAAAGTCACATGCGAGGGCTTAACAGTCTCATGGGTGCCAAGGCAGGGCCTCAAGGTATCTGCTTCTGAGGATCATCTGCCATGTCACCGGGGCCCAGTAAAAGAGGGAAACAGCAACTTCACCTCATTTTCCCTACTCTGTGCTGTCTGTAAACAAGTGGCATGAGGGAAGTACAAGGTCTGCTCAGTGCCAGGGTCCTATTGCTTCTTCCTGACACAGAAAGCTATTTTCAAAGGCAGCTGCTCCTGGCAGCAGTCAGGTAGGGCAGAGCCTGCCTTTGGCTAACTAATCCAGAATTATTGCTGACGTTCTCCTGGAGGGCAGAGGCCGGGGCAGGAAAATATCTTCCTAAGGACTGTGTCCTCACAGGCACGTCTCCTCTTCCAGGGAGTGACCACAAGAACAACATCCCTGAACTCAGGATTTTCCCAAATGCATTGTGCTGTGAACTTGAGTGGACCCTGTCTGGAGAGAGACCACTACTCAGACCTGAGGAGTCCTAGAGGACCCATTTAAAAAGTTCCCTTCCTTTGAGTTAAAAATATTACTGTTTCTGCAGTGTCTTGTTAAATACATGTTGGAGTGCTTTGTTGAAACGTTAATTTGTATTTTCTTTTTGTGGTATGTTTTCCTATCCCTCTCCAAGAAAGGTAGCTTTACCCTCTGCGCTCCTGCCTTACCTCCAAGAGGTTTGTGTTATGGATGCAGGAAGCAAAAATGACTTATGGAAAGTATCAGAAGAGCTTCCTGGCTTTCACTTCTCCAGGGACTGATGTCCTTGAGAGGATGGTGCTAGGGAGGGGGAGGGAAGCGAGGGAACGGAGACTCCCCAAGAGTGGGGAGAATGAAACTCTGTGGAGAATCTTGCCTCATAAAACAGACACAGGCTGGAGGCAGGACTCAGGAATGCGGCACCAGAGGAGGCTGGACCCTAGCACAGGACTGCCTCAGCTACCATTTCCTGACACAGCAGAGGAAACTACGAGCCACAAGATTGCAGAGAGCAACACAACCTGAACAGTGTATATCAGCAGGTCAGGAGGGACTGACCATACTTTTCCCTCTATTTCGAGGAACCACATCAAGCTCCTAGATTATAACTGGAGCCTAAGAAGGAAAAGATTTCTCTCTACTAATAACAATAATGACAGAAGTAGAATTTTTCTCTAATTGCAGAAGAGAAGAGGCTCAAACTTGGATTTAATTTGAAGACAGTAAAGAAATGGCACCCACCCTTTCCTCATGCCCAAGTTTGTGGTATAAAGTTCATACAGGTTACAAATGCAAATGACCCAGGGAACTAAATTATATAAAATACACTCACTTATAACTAGTTATCAACAATTCAGTGAAGATTTGTTCGTTCATCAGAATAGAAAATTAGAACTTGTTCTCTAAAAGTGGGACAGATGAGAGGAAAATTTTGAAAAGTTGAAATGGATAGCAAGAGACAAAGCTCACTGCCAGCAGTTGGTAAGAGCATTGGGCCATTTTTATGGGACTCTGGTAAATGACCCTTCCCGTACATCCACAGCTCAACTTGTCTCACGAGTTTCTTCTTCAAAACTAAGCAACTGTTAGCATTGGGGAAAACAAAACAAAAAGAAACAAATCTGATCAATGCTTAGGAATTCTTATGTGTGCTTGTCCTTTTTCTCAATCTTTAGGGAACAATAGTATGTGTAAAACTCTTCCTTTAAGATGGAGACCCCAAAGCTGGGGACCACAGGACACAACAGTAAGGGCATGAGTGATAGTTGGCAGAGGCATCCACAC